ACGGCGAGGTGATCGGCATGGAGAATGGCGAGGGGAACGTCTTGGTGAACGTCCTGACGATCTGCATCTGTGGGTTGACCTTCGCGGAGATCAGTGAGGTGAATATTGATAGCTTCGCGAAGCTCTTGTGGAATCCCTCGATGTCCTCTGGACGAAGATGATTTGGAGCCTAATAAAGGTGCCCTTCGTGAAGGCCTTCCTGAAGCTTCCTCTGCGTCCGGTCATGAGAAACGGCGACTTGACCTTCACGAAGGCTTTCGTGAAGTCTGGTGGTCCGAGTCCGAATCTAAGGATGAAGCCGAGGTAGGTGATGATCTATCAAGCCTTCGTGAAGGCTGTATATCTGGGTCCTTCGTCGAGGTGGTCTGTGACTTCCTCCGCGAAGGTGGCTTCGTCGTGGCCGCTACGTTGACGGGGGGTCCCTCTGGGATGTCGTCTACGTTGGAGCCTTCGCAAAGGTGAAGGCTGTACATCTGGTGGCCGCTACGTTGACGGGGGGTCCCTCTCGAAGATCGTCCGACATCGGTGTAGACACATCAGGCTGCATGGCGATCTGTGCTGTCGTCACGGTTGCTGACACCGGTCGTCTCTTGTGGCGTAGATCGGGAATGATGATCGGCTGCTCATCGTAGAGGCCCAGTTCAGCGGCTGGAACAATCTCGGTTGAGAAAGTCCTAGTTGACTTCGTTGATTTCCCCTCAGAGGTCGACGCTGCCCTGGAGGTGCGAAGTCTGCGTTGAGATGAAGTAGTTGCTGCCCTATCAGCGTTGGTAGCGACGGGACCCTCAGGAAGATCATCGAACATCAGCGTTGATACATCAGGCTGCATGTTGATCTGCGCTGACATCACTTTCTTTTGATGTACATCAGGTATGATGATCGGCTGATCATCATACAGGCCCAAAACTGTGACGGGAACAATCTCGGCTGAGAAAGTCCTAGTTGAAGTAGAAGCCCTCTAGTCTTCGGCTGCGACGACGGGATGTCTGGGGAAGCAGGACGCTTCTTGGAGACGGCGGACTACGTCCCACGCCTCTCCACCACTCTAGCGGAACACCAGACGGGAGGGGGGTCGATCAACAGCAGTAGACTGGCGAGGGGTTCAGGTGTATCAGTCATGGCTAGACTCTGCATACGCGACCTATCTGCTGCGCGTCTCAAACGCAAAGTAAATATTTATTAAAGGCAGAATTGGATAAATTAGTACCACAACTGCAACGTGAATAAAAAGAACATGGCGCAGTACAGTTAGGGCATATTAAATGCGGATCAGCAGCAGAATAAAAACGTAATCTGCAACAGTACAGATTTTCATCAACGTAATCCACTGAACAAACACGGCGTCCCGTGAATAAACAGTAGAAACACGACTAAATATCAATATATAATTGTTGAAGGATACTAGCTAAACCTCTATAGATGCCTATACGAGGTAACTAACTAAATATAATCAAAGGATATAGTGTGTCGGGAGACACAGGTGCTCTCACGTCCAGCTCACTGGGCGAAGAAGAAGAGAGTGAGGCACATGGGTGGAGGTGGCGCCCTCGTTCACGCGCTTGTGGAAGGGAGGAAACTCATGGTGTACTAATTAGTGATTTCTTTATTGAAGGGAACTTCAATTAGGGAGATACAAGTGTTTCCACTATGTTCGCAAGAAGAAGAAGACAAGCAAAAGAGCATGAGTCAGGATAAGGAAAAATAAAGGTTTTAGTCAAACCACATTTCATATTGCTCAAGATTTTGTTACATAAAATCATACATCTTGATTTATAACAAAAGTTTAACAACCTTCATAACATCACACAGACTACCCAGTTTTCAGCAGTTAGTCGTCTCTGACAACTATCATTGGTTGCTGAGGACCAATTCGAACTGGATTCTAACATGACAAAGACCTGATGTAATTGTATTTCAACCTTGACATCGCTTGATCCCAAACATCAAACCAACACAATGGAATCTCCAAGCAACTAACTGTCCTAACCATGAAAATTCATACACATATAAACTTGGTTACAGTCACTTACTGAAAATAAGAGAATTAAGAGTTACCCCCTTGACAGGGAGATGGCCAAGGTCAAATGTTCAACACCATCGCAGTCACTGCTAAAGTTGTGACAAACCAAGTCAAACAGATGACTCAAACTTTGTTGTGTCAAACTTATGATTTTCTGGAAGTAAAAGCTGGGTCCCTGCACATTCCATATTTACTTGTCATTTAGCAGTCGAACCTTGGATAACTTGAAGTATTTACATCAGTCCCTTCAACTCTGACCCACTGATGTTTGATTGTATCTCCATACACAGCAAACCATTACATGTGATACTGTTAAGAAACACCACGCAAAATATGTTTATGTAATTTCATATAATAATATTAATAATTCATTTATATTACGCCTAGTATCCATCTGACTACTTGCTCACTGGACGCTGTAATCAGAATCTATGAGGCGCTAGAAGGTTAATAGTCACCTGACTTATCTCAATACATACACATAAATAGGCGGAGTAATAGGCACAAATCACATTTCCAATATGTTTGCCATTGTTGCCATGCTAAAGTCTGATTGGAATTCGGTGAACAAGTCTTAAGACACTATAGCTGTATCATTCTTGAAAGGCAAAGATGAGGTTTAATATGAATGCTGAATATGTAACACCTGTCGAGGAATGATGGACAACAAGCCAGTCCATTGGTTCTACTTGACTTTTAGTCAGGTGAACAAAAAATAAATCAAAACAAAACACGAAAATCATCATCATTCATAGTCATATTCAGTGAAGAAATCATTTTCCATACAATCCTCAAATTAAAATGCACATATTGCACACAAACGTCACATACATCCTTTACATAAAAAAGGGACTTTATCACTTTCAACCACACACCTCTAATACATCTTGCATTAACTCTTGTACAAAATGCAGTAAGGCACATAATAAAATTGATGTTAGAGTGAGTGAATATCGTTTTATTCCTCAGACTACAATATTCCTGTCATAGTCTGAGCCAGACAAGCCAGTGATTGACACCATTGACACCATGAGCACACTGATGGAATATGCTGGTACATGATCAGCTGTGTCACACAACTGTCAGCTCTAACAACAGGCAATGTCTGCTGTCTAGAACACTGGACAATGACCAAAACCCAATCCTACACCAGGCAGTATGAAGACATTTGTGCAGACACCTGGATCAAGGCAGAGCAGCCATGTGTCTGTGCTCCTCTCTCAAGTCACAGTTGTAGACTGCACATTGCAGAAAGACTGAGGGTTGATTGGTTTGTTGCTTAATGCTGCACTCAGCAATATTCCAGCTATATGGCAGCAGCATGTAAATAATCAAGTCTGGACCAGAAAATCCAGTGATCAACAGAATGAGCATTGATGTACACAATACGTTGCTATGTGTCAACCAAGTCAGTGAGCCTGACCACTCAATTCCGTTAGGTGGCTCTTACAAGCATGGGTTGCTGAAGACCAATTCTAACCTGACTGAGGGAGTGAGTTGGGTTTAGAGCCACTTTGAACTGTATTACAGATATGTGAAATTATGCAAGTTTCTTGGACCAGTGAAACCCATGAGCATCTAAATGCATCATCACCATCAACCAGGATCCAAACCAGTCATCACAGCTTTCTTAAATGTCTCCTTGGTACAGTGAAATGTGTAGCAAAAACAAAGACTCCAAATCTTGATTGAAGAAATATAGCAGCTTCCATGATCCATCAACTCCAAGACAAGGTTTCATGGCAGTCATCCAAAATTTCCCATTACATCATTGGATCCACAGGAACGCTATTTGAATCACACAAGGGTTTTGAAGTTGTTATCACAGAAGTCTGTCCCTTCTTTCTCCAAATTTCGACTAGAAATATAATCCTTATTGCTTTGTTTCACAGACAGCACAAACTTTGCTAAATAGAATATAATCCACAACACAGAGTTTCCACTGAATCAGAACATTCAACCCCAATCTGCAACATAATTCCCAAGACAGAGACCACTCTCAGTTGTTTCCATGACAACACAAACCAGGAAACCATGATCTCAAGTCTCATCTATAGCACATTGTCTTCTCCAGAAGCTGCCTCATGTCTTGCCCCTGGTCATATCACAGTCGAGGTGCTGAGGTCACAGTGGTCAAGATTCAACACCATGTAGATCCCCGGACTCTCAGCTAAAGAAGTAGACTGACTTCAACACATTGGTCAGATTAAATGTACCTGAAAGCACACAAGGAACAATCAGACAACCTTACCATCAGAGTTTTTACAGATGTGGTAGCTCTTAATTTTAACATCCATACTACATGATATTTGTTAGTTGTTCGATGTCGCATTCAGCAATATTCTGGCTGTATGATGGCTGTCTGTAAATAATCGAGTCTGGGTCATACAATCCAATAATCAACAGCATGAGCATCAATCTCTGCAATTGGGACAGGATGACATGTGTCTACCAAGTCAATAGCCTGACCACATGTTCCTGTTAGTCGTCACTTACAACAATGAGTGAATGTGTGAGTGAGTTAAGTTTTATATGCGCACTCAGCAATATTCCAGCTATATGGCGGTGGTCTGTAAATAACTGAGTCTGGACCAGACTATCAAGTGATCAATAGCATGAGCAGCGATCTGCGCAAATGGGACCCGATGACATGTGCCAACCAAGCCAGCGAGCCTGGCCACCCAATCCTGTTAGTCGCCTCTTTCGACAAGCATGGGTTACTGAAGGTTCATTCTAACCCGGACCTTCACAGGTCGCCACTTACAACAAACATGGGCTACTGAAGACCAAATCTAGCCATGTAACCATGATCTTCACGGGTTTACTTGGTACTATGTACCAGACATAACATTATGATACAGGTCTTATGGATCAAGTAGGGACTTAACTCTGCAAGATCGACTTATCTACAGTGAAATATGGTATAGTACACTTGGTACAAACCAACAGGACTTGATACAAGCAGTAGTGACATCCTTACCACGAGATGGGACCTCGGCCAACACAGAACTGAGGAATGTCTCAGCGATTTCAGGTTCAGTGTCTGAATCACCATCCCTGGAAGAAAATGAAGAAACACACATGAATCTGTAACCCCATCTGTAAGAAGTTACATGTAACATTTTCAGAAGGCCTATTGACACAAATACTCAAGGGACCACCTACCTGCTGAACACCTGGAGGTCCTATTGGCACAGATACTCAAGGTACAACCTACCTGCTGAACATCTGTAAGATCATATTGGCACAGATACTCAAGGTACCACATACCTCCTGAACACCTGCAGGAACATATTGACACAAATACTCAGGGTACCACCTACCTGCTGAACACCTGCAGGAACATATTGACACAGATACTGAGCACCACATCCTACTGAACACCTGCAGGAACATACTGACACAGATATTCAAGGCATCACATACCTACTGAACACCTGCAGGAACATAACGACACAGATACTCAAGGTATATACCTGCTGAACATCTGCAGGAACATATTGACACAGATATTCAAGGTACCACATACCTACTGAACACCTGCAGGAACATATTGATACAGATACTCAAGGTACCACCTACCTGCAGGGACATTTTGACACAGATATTCAAGGTACCACATACCTACTGAACACCTGCAAGAACATACCGACACAGATACTCAAGGTACCACATACCTGCTGAAAACCTGCAGGAACATATTGACACAGATACTCATGGTACCCCCTACCTGCTGAACACCTGCACAAACATATTGACACAAGTTCTCAGGGTACCACATACCTACTGAACACCTGCAGGAACATATTGACACAGATACTCAGCACCACATACCTACTGAACACCTGCAAGAACATACTGACACTGATACTCAAGGTACCATATACCTGTTAAACACCTGCAGGAACATTTTGAAACAGATACTCAAGGTACCACATACCTACTGAACACCTGCAGGAACATATTGACACAAATACTCAAGGGACCACATACCTGCTGAACACCTGCAGGAACATATTGACACAGATACTCAAGGTACCACTACCACATACCTGCTGAACATCTGTCGGAGATACTGACACAGGTCTTCAAGGATGGGCTGTTCATGCAGGGCCACAAACTGCTCTCTGCATATCTGATCAAACACACATTAGGGAGTTTATTTAAACATTTTTTAAAGTTGGCCTATTTTTAATGACATAACAACTCTGCTTCACAGCTCAGTCATCTCATGAACTTCACAGTTAGGAAATGCCGGTCAGTGTCTGCAGACAATAACACATATGTATATGCGATATATATTTGTCACAAATCCAAACTCCAAGACTCTTTTATAGCCAACACATGCTTAAAGGTCACATGCAACCAAAAAATCAAACATAATTAAAACACAATTATCACTTCTTCATGACATATAATATGCATTGCTGATTATGAAAAAACAAATACACAAAATTATAAGCGTATAATCGCAAATCAAAAGTGCAATATTGTGTACTTGGGTTTACCTCCCTCGAAACGAAGCAGCCGGGATACCGAACCCAGTCAGAGCGGGTGGGTGTGCACTCAAGTGTAACGGCTGGTTCATTAGCAGATGCCGCCTTCACGGCTGGCTCATGGTGTGTGTGTAGAGATGTTGGGTTTTGTAAATACATGCTCATTTTTTGTGTATAACATTTTGCAATCAACAGACATCATAACATGTCATGTGTTCAAGTATCACACCTGCCTGTCTGTGTAATTACATAATGTGACAGAGACCCGAACTCGGGCCATAAATCAATGCGTTTTGTTTATGGTGTATAGCCTGATTGGTGTTAAGTTCAAATTGCATGTGGTCAGTGATCGCAGTTGTGTATTGAATATTGTGATTAGCAGACAGGCAGGCAGACACACAGGTGTCAATAAAACAAGACATTGAGTTTTGTCTGTGACAGCGACATATCTATATCACAGTTAGAAATTGTGTCAACGCTAAATAATGACATTGCTTTTAAGTATCGAACTGAGAAAGTGACGCGGTAAGAAGAGCGCGTGTGGTGAAATAGACAATTGAAATTATATAAACAGTTTATTTACTGTCATAACATATAAAAAGCTTCGCCTGTGAGATATCAACAAAACATTAGAAACATAGCTCACACCAAAGCCTTCACCGAGTATTCACCCGACAACCCGCTTCCAAGCTGCGCGAACGTCTTTACTTGCGCACGTGCTATGAGCGCAGCCCAGCTGTTGAAACCCGTATTCCCCAGAAAAGTCTGGGGAAAATTAGTGAAACGTTTGAACTCCGATTTCGTGCGGGTTTTTTCATTGCGTTATTTTTCAACTTTATAAGTTGAATTTGCATTTTTGACGATTTGTTTCGCTATGTCCATACCGAAAGGTATCAGAATCTGCAAAGTTGTGTTTTACGTTGCATGTGACCTTTAACTTTTGAAGATGAGGCCTGACAATTGGAAGGCTGTTCAAGCCTGTGTTTATATATATCGTGTGTGAGACTCACTTTATTCATGATTTCTACGTCAGCTGGATGCGTCCAGTAGCAGTCGTGTACAGACACGTAGGTGATGCCGGCCCTGTAACAGAGAATCAGTCACAGAGTCAGCTGGAGTACAGCAATTATTGTACCTTTATTTAAGAAGGGTGATCGTAATGATCCAAATAATTACAGGGGAATATCCCTTCTTAGTACTTTCAGTAAAATATATACATCTGTACTTAACAATAGAATAACATTTTGGGCAAATACATACCAAAAGGTTGTGGAATCACAAGCAGGGTTTAGGGAAGGTTATAGCACAATTGATAATATTTTTATTCTACAATCTGTTATCCAACGTTATCTATGTAAGAAAAAGGGGAAGTTCTATGCTATATTTGTCGATTTCAAAAAGGCTTTTGATTTTGTTAACAGGGATAAAGTATAGGCCATTCTCAAATATAGAGGCGTTTCACCTAAGATGCTTAAAGCCTTAACTTCTATCTATAAGTGTGTTAAGGGACAGGTGCGTGATATTTCTCTCTCTCAGTTGTTTAATTGCCCACAGGGTTTGCGACAAGGGTGTGTTTTAAGCCCGCTATTAATCTCATTCTTTATAAATTAACTAGCTCTAGAAATTGAATCCACATGTTACCCAGGTGTACAGCTTCACCCTGATGTTGTACAAATGTTCCTACTACTTTTTGCTGATGATATTGTACTTTTTGCAGACTCTGTATTTGGTTTACAAAATCGTATAAATAGTTTAGAAAGTTTCTGTAAAAGTCATCAATTAACTGTTAACTTGGAAAAAAACAAGATTGTTGTATTTAATGGTTGTAAATTATCAAAATATGAAAAATGGCATTTCAATGGAATTCTTTTGGAAACTGTTTCATCTTACAAATATTTGGGTATTTTATTTGCACGTTAGAAGACTTTTGATTAGTTTATAGCCAATGCATATGGGAAAACATATTCTAAAGTTTCATAGTTAGTATGTATCCATCTTACCCTGTTCCAACAGGTAGATGGAGGACCATGATAGTTTGCAAACTTTGATAGTCAAATCCAACTTGCATGGAGAATTCATGAAAAGTTCTTTTTATATAAATAATTTGAGAATATGCTATTTCTTACAAACAAAGTGCAGATAAGTTGTACCTAAGGATAAATCCTAAACGGTGGTATTCCTTAAAAATAACTAGCCTTTTAATACATAGATTTTAAACCAGTGACAACAATCATGGCAAAACACTTTGTCTCCCATACAACAGCAAATTAGAAGAATCACAGTATTATGACATATACTAGAATATGGCACCTTAAAAAAATCTAAAGGTAATAAATCTGTTTTATGGTTATGGCCATACTTTAAATGAACTAGTTATTATATCATGGACAGAGTGAGTGAGTGAATTTCATTTTTATGTTGCTTTTAGCAATATTCTTGTAGTATCACAGCAGGGGACACTAGATATGGGCTTCACACACTGTGCCCATGTTTGGAATGGAATGTCAGGCTGCCCCACTGCCCCAAACATTGCCAGACTGAAGTACAATGAGTCAGGTTGTTTACGGCTATTGCTTCAGTGCACTCCCAGGTGCACTCACAATGGAGGCCAATCCTTTCTGGTGCCGTCATGGGGAACACACATGAGACTGTAAAATCCATATGTATGTCCATAAATATGCATGTCAACATCAACACAATCATGCCAATCAATAATCTAATTAGTTCCACTTGAATGCTGTTGGTGCTCTATTGATATTACTCCCTGGTGTATTATATAACCCAAGTTGCTATTGTGCGAAAAGCATTAACAGGTGAATAAGAAATAACAAGCCCTACATGTGCGTCAATACTGGATCAATTTCTCGAAACTCTCAGGTTAAGAATCCAAAACAAAATTTTTTATCTATGAATCTTCGAGACCACCACATCACTAATATTTTTTTACATTTGTTGTTGTAGTAAAAAAGCATCATACACAACACATCCTCGTCATCAAACATTGTGCAACCATCACCATCAATACAATCAATCAATACATCAATACATAGCAATCCTCGTATGTTCAGGGTGGATTTACTATAATGTATCTGTTATCCTTGCCCAAGGCTAATATGTATACCCAAGGCTAATATGTATTCAGATGAACTTATCAAATTTTATTATACTCATATAACATCTAGATTGGTATAATTAGCAAAAAAGTGTATGGAAGGAAGACCAGAAGGCATAAAATTTTGCTGGGTTTGCATTAGAAAATGCTGTATATTTGGTAGCTTTATAGTAGTTGAGTATTTCCCTTTGAAGCACTCTAAAATCTGGCTTTATATTATTTCGGCTTGTTTAATATAGCATGTATTTCACTATTAGAAACACCAGATTAAGTGGGTTATTGTTTTTACCTTTGAAACCAAAGATAATATTTTCGTGCGACAAATCAATATTTCCTTCAGACAGTATATCCAGCCAATCTGATACCTCCTTCCATACTTTCACGGTATATCGGCATTCACACAATAAATGAATAATTGTTTCAGGAGCAGATTCACAGAATGTACACGTTGAAGTGTCTTGTATTTCATCAAATGTAACTTATGTTTTAGTTGTTAAAATATTGTGAGTAATCTTGAAATGAAACCATCCTAACTGTACACTTTCTGTACACTTATTTGCCATTAAATATATGTTAGACCAGTCTTCTTTGTTATATTGTTTGTTGAGGATGTGTTCCCACTTTTTTTGGCTTGTTGGTCCAGTTTCAACTTGAGGTAAAAGTACGTTATAAAAGGATTTACTCCTTTGGTTTTGTCTGCAAATGCAAGATATATTAAAGAACCACTAAACTTTGTTTTTTGTTATTCTTTTAACCATTACATATGAAAGATTTGTGGTTAGTCTTATGCGGAACACCAAATTTATTCTTTAAAAACTTGTGGTTAATTAATACCGAGCGATTAAAAGTGGCCAAAAAGTCGCCTGCTTCCCTCTTGCCCGCCAACGAAACCACAGACAGGTTACGTAACTCTGTCGCCAGAGCACTGCAGTGACGTCATATGAGGAACGATTTTCAGTTAGTTGTATAGAAAATGTGTAGCACGCTCATCATTTTGATGATTTCTCGGCATCAACGATGACATGCCGAATCGTTGCTTTGTCGTCAATTGCTCCTAGGGGTCGGGCGATGGTGTCCCCAAGTACAGATTTCCACAGGACCCGCGGTTAGTGCTTCATCGGTTATGTTTGTGAGTCGCTGGCGTTGTGGAAGCCTGAAGCGATATCTTACTTGTGTTCAGATCGCTTCACTGAAGTTAAAGAATCAAAACTACTTACTAGTTGTTGTAAAATATGCATATGATTGATGACCATAAAGATTTTCTATGACACAACTTGTAACATAACGATTTCTTCCTCGGAAGTGAGGTTGTGGTCGAAGTAACAATAATATTGTAAGTAGTATTATATTGACACCCACCTGGCTGCCACGAGAGAAATTGTTATGTTATCACGCTATGTCATGCAAAATCCTATTGGCCATCAATAAAATACATATTTTACTACCAGTAGAAAGTAGTTTGATTTTATAACTTCGGTGAAAACAAACCTAAATACCATTTATCCTCAGACTGGCGGATGTTCCCGACAGAGCGCCGCCATTTTAAAATAAAAAATCTGTTAGAATTAATGAGATTATAGTTTGTTTTCATCAAGTTAGATAATCAAGACTACTTTCTACTAAGTAGTTAAATATGTATTGGAATCATAACCAAGCGGATTTTGCATGACACAACTTATAACATAACGATTTCTTCCACGAAGCGAGGTGGAGGGTCGAAGTCACAATACTGCGCGATAAATTTCTTGCTACATTCCCATGGTTAATGTCCACTCACCAGTATGTAGATACTAGTCAATGTGCGTCTTTATATTTGGTCTTATAATCCAAATTAGTTTATTATCATACTTGTATGCATTTTGAAACTAAATAAAATAATAAAAAGCTGACGATCTGCTGATACTTATAGTGAATTTATAGCAGAACTGTAATATCTAGACATTTTATAGTTTGCCAATGTGAATCATAATTTAGCACACACACCCTAGTGCATGTTGTCTGACTCATTACACTTCACGGCGAAAACAATGATTCTGTTGAATGCTTTCACGACAAATGAATCAAATCAAAATGCAAATATTAAAATTAAAACAGATTAAAGTTATAGGAACAATATCAGGCCGTTACCTTGTTAGAGGAATGTATCCATCAATATCCACAAAACTGTTCCAAATGATGTGTCTTTTAACAGTTTAATATACGAAAAAAGTGATAAATCTTTTCAGGTATTGGTGTATAGTCTCATTGGTCACCCAAGATAGCACACCTGGCAACTAATTGCATAATGTCCGCCTTTCTTTAAAACAGTAATTTAGTTAGCCAATAATGGGCAATCAATCAATGTATTGCCGGTTAATCCTTTGAAAGAAGGGCGTTTTTTTCACGCAGACACCGACCACGACAGAGTGTATTCAGTATAGATTAGTAAATCTACATACATAAACACTACCTTTTGACAATTCCGGCTGTGTAAGATAAAAGTAATTAATCAATCAGCGTGTTATCGGTTAATCCTTTGATCGATGTTTATAATGTTGAATATTTACTCCAGACACAAGAAATGCCAAATGGGAACCTTTGTCGGGTAATCTAAGTGTGTTACCACTAATTATACCTGTTATAAATTCATTAACTGACCATCAAGTGAATGATGACAAATAACATGTGTAGGTTTATACCACCTAACACGGGTTACAAGAAGGGAGTATTAATTGCTGTATTGCATGTGAAAACTTATGGGCCGACACTGTTTTGAGAATACAAACAGATTTTTACATGACATGATTAAATATCGAGGTAAAAAAACACAGAAATGGGATCGATTTGGATCAGTCATTATACAAATAGGGCCTAACGACACCAATCGATTTTGACAGAATCGTCTCTGAAAACAAGTTGTAACTCGGAAACTAGGCAAAGCAGGAGACAAAATTAAATGACAGTAGATTGTGAGAACATATAGCTTTTATTT